TTAAGACTCACGAAGTACTCACGGATACGGCCAGAAATTTTCTGTTTCCGTGTGACGCGGCTTCACCAGTGATACCCGTTTACTCTCTACATCAGCACTGGTCAAATTTATTATTTGCGTTCGTGATCTAGCTCTTGGAGCTCCAGCACCTCTATAAATAATCAATTTTTCTGCTGACAGTGTCTGCAGGCGTAGGTGATGACTTAGCTTAAGCAAAGAATGCGGATTCCTTGACTCCAAGGTGCTAGTTATTGTGTTTATTGCAACTAGCTATGCTATCAGGCTAGACTCATGCAGGGGTAGGCGATCTTTTTTGGGTATTACCCCAAAACAAATTTGTAGACAGCGAAATTTGGCCACTAGACTAAAAATTATTTGTTTGAATAAATATAACTTTCATAATTTGCTTCACTTATTATTAAACATTCTTTTATTAAGCATTCATTTCTGCGTATTTTTAACAGATCTTAGGAATAGAAGGATCCTCTGACAAACACTTAAATGAAATACATTGCAGGATCCCTTGCAGGAGAGGAGAGTGTTGTACACATGCAAGGATCATATCTACGCTGTATCTGCTTTTGATCTGGATCCAGTATAGTTGCAGTCTAAATCTGTATGGTAAGAAACACATGGTAATATATATATAGATGTTCTGGTATGGCTTAATGTAGCTTCGTTGTGCGGTATTTGAACTCTCTTTTCTGTTAATGGAAAGAGGGACGTAACATGACCTCCTTGGCCGCACCTGAACCTCCAGTGTGGGAACGTTGAGAGGGGGCTTAGTCTCCCCTTATCACCCCCTTGTTGGAGGTGATACTAGCAGTATGAGACGTGTGTGTGTGTGTGTGTGTGTGTGTGTGTGTACTCACCTATTTGTACTCACCTATTTGTGGTTGCAGGGGTCGATTCATAGCTCCTGGCCCCGCCTCTTCACTGATTGCTACTAGGTCCTCTCTCTCCCTGCTCCATGAGCTTTATCATACCTCGCCTTAAAACTATGTATGGTTCCCGCCTCCACTACTTCACTTTCTAGGCTATTCCACGGCCTGACTACTCTATGACTGAAGAAATACTTCCTAACATCCCTTTGATTCATCTGATTCTTCAACTTCCAATTGTGACCCCTTGTTTCTGTGTCCCATCTCTGGAACATCCTATCTCTGTCCACCTTGTCTATTCCACGCAGTATTTTGTATGTTGTTATCATGTCTCCCCTGACCCTCCTATCCTCCAGTGTCGCCAGTATGTGTGTGTGTACTCACCTAGTTGTACTCACCTAGTTGAGGTTGCGGGGGTCGAGTCCGAGCTCCTGGCCATGCCTCTTCACTGATCGCTACTAGGTCACTCTCCCTGAGCCGTGAGCTTTATCATACCTCTGCTTAAAGCTATGTATGGATCCTGCCTCCACTAGATCACTTCCCAAACTATTCCACTTACTGACTACTCTGTGGCTGAAGAAATACTTCCTAACATCCCTGTGATTCATCTGTGTCTTCAGCTTCCAACTGTGTCCCCTTGTTACTGTGTCCAATCTCTGGAACATCCTGTCTTTGTCCACCTTGTCAATTCCTCTCAGTATTTTGTATGTCGTTATCATGTCCCCCCTATCTCTCCTGTTCTCCAGTGTCGTCAGGTTGATTTCCCTTAACCTCTCCTCGTAGGACATACCTCTTAGCTCTGGGACTAGTCTTGTTGCAAACCTTTGCACTTTCTCTAGTTTCTTTACGTGCTTGGCTAGGTGTGGGTTCCAAACTGGTGCCGCATACTCCAATATGGGCCTAACGTACACGGTGTACAGGGTCCTGAATGAATCCTTATTAAGATGTGGGAATGCTGTTCTGAGGTTTGCTAGGCGCCCATATGCTGCAGCAGTTATTTGGTTGATGTGCGCTTCAGGAGATGTGCCTGGTGTTATACTCACCCCAAGATCTTTTTCCTTGAGTGAGGTTTGTAGTCTCTGGCCCCCTAGACTGTACTCCGTCTGCGGTCTTCTTTGCCCTTCCCCAATCTTCATGACTTTGCACTTGGTGGGATTGAACTCCAGGAGCCAATTGCTGGACCAGGTCTGCAGCCTGTCCAGATACCTTTGTAGTTCTGCCTGGTCTTCGATCGAGTGAATTCTTCTCATCAACTTCACGTCATCTGCAAACAGGGACACCTCAGAGTCTATTCCTTCCGTCATGTCGTTCACAAATACCAGAAACAGCACTGGTCCTAGGACTGACCCCTGTGGGAACCCGCTGGTCACAGGTGCCCACTCTGTGTGTGTGTGTGTGTGTGTGGCAAGGGCTATCAGAGGTTGTCAATAACCAAACAGTTAGACGGTTGAGTATTTATTCTGACAACTGTATCTCAGGTATCATGCCTTGTTCACTGACTCACTGCCTGCCACAGCAATGGTGACTCACTGCCTGCCACAGCAACGGTGACTCACTGCCTGCCACAGCAACGGTGACTCACTGCCTGCCACAGCAACGGTGACTCACTGCCTGCCACAGCAACGGTGACTCACTGCCTGCCACAGCAACGGTGACTCACTGCCTGCCACAGCAACGGTGACTCACTACCTGCCACAGCAACGGTGACTCACTGCCTGCCACAGCAACGGTGACTCACTGCCTGCCACAACAACGGTGACTCACTACCTGCCACAGCAACGGTGACTCACTGCCTGCCACAGCAACGGTGACTCACTGCCTGCCACAGCAACGGTGACTCACTACCTGCCACAGCAACGGTGACTCACTGCCTGCCACAGCAACGGTGACTCACTGCCTGCCACAGCAACGGTGATTCACTGCCTGCCACAGCAACGGTGACTCACTGCCTGCCACAGCAACGGTGACTCACTGCCTGCCACAGCAACGGTGACTTACTGCCTGCCACAGCAACGGTGACTTACTGCCTGCCACAGCAACGGTGACTCACTACCTGCCACAGCAACGGTGACTCACTGCCTGCCACAACAACGGTGACTCACTACCTGCCACAACAACGGTGACTCACTGCCTGCCACAACAACGGTGACTCACTGCCTGCCACAGCAACGGTGACTCACTGCCTGCCACAACAACGGTGACTCACTACCTGCCACAACAACGGTGACTTACTGCCTGCCACAACAACGGTGACTCACTACCTGCCACAGCAACGGTGACTCACTGCCTGCCACAGCAACGGTGACTCACTGCCTGCCACAGCAACGGTGACTTACTGCCTGCCACAACAACGGTGACTCACTACCTGCCACAGCAACGGTGACTCACTGCCTGCCACAGCAACGGTGACTCACTACCTGCCACAACAACGGTGACTCACTACCTGCCACAGCAACGGTGACTCACTACCTGCCACAACAACGGTGACTTACTGCCTGCCACAACAACGGTGACTCACTACCTGCCACAACAACGGTGACTCACTGCCTGCCACAGCAACGGTGACTCACTGCCTGCTACAGCAACAGTGACTCACTGCCTGCCACAGCAACAGTGACTCACTGCCTGCCACAGCAACGGTGACTCACTGCCTGCTACAGCAACAGTGACTCACTACCTGCCACAACAACGGTGACTCACTACCTGCCACAGCAACGGTGACTCACTACCTGCCACAGCAACGGTGACTTAGTGCCTGCTACAGCAACAGTGACTCACTACCTGCCACAGCAACGGTGACTTAGTGCCTGCTACAGCAACAGTGACTCACTGCCTGCCACAGCAACAGTGACTCACTGCCTGCTACAGCAACAGTGAGCCAACCATCTCACACAAACATGTATCAGCAGTGACATCTCTAACAGTCAACTGTGTCTAACAGTAACTTCGACACAGTTGACTCTCTCGCTCAACAGTAATCCAACGGTAACATATAAATAACAGTGATATTCAACAAAGGCTGTGTAGAGAACCAACAACTTGATAAATCAGACATATCTACAACACTTGGGTATCATTACTGAGGAAACGTTTCGCCACACAGGAAGATTTCGAAGTAATCAACCTCTCAGCCTGAAGTCGATGTAATCAGTCCAGCAACCTCTCAGCCTGAAGTCGATGTAATCAGTCCAGCAACCTCTCAGCCTGAAGTCGATGTAATCAGTCCATCAACCTCTCAGCCTGAAGTCGATGTAATCAGTCCAGCAACCTCTCAGCCTGAAGTCGATGTAATCAGTCCATCAACCTCTCAGCCTGAAGTCGATGTAATCAGTCCATCAACCTCTCAGCCTGAAGTCGATTTAATCAGTCCAACAACCTCTCAGCCTGAAGTCGATGTAATCAGTCCAACAACCTCTCAGCCTGAAGTCGATGTAATCAGTCCATCAACCTCTCAGCCTGAAGTCGATGTAATCAGTCCATCAACCTCTCAGCCTGAAGTCGATGTAATCAGTCCATCAACCTCTCCAGCCTGAAGTCGATGTAATCAGTCCAACAACCTCTCAGCCTGAAGTCGATGTAATCAGTCCATCAACCTCTCAGCCTGAAGTCGATGTAATCAGTCCAACAACCTCTCAGCCTGAAGTCGATGTAATCAGTCCATCAACCTCTCAGCCTGAAGTCGATGTAATCAGTCCATCAACCTCTCAGCCTGAAGTCGATGTAATCAGTCCATCAACCTCTCAGCCTGAAGTCGATGTAGTCAGTCCATCAACCTCTCAGCCTGAAGTCGATGTAATCAGTCCATCAACCTCTCAGCCTGAAGTCGATGTAGTCAGTCCATCAGTCCTGAAAAGATCAATCTTAAAAAAATTGATGGACTGATCGCATTGACTCCAGGCTGAGGGAGTGATTACCACAAATTCCTTCTGATTTCCACCATTCTTCTTCGTATAAGACTGATGAAGCCACTGTGTGGCGAAACGTTTCCTCACTAAAGATTCCCAAGTGTTGCACATGTGTCTAATTTATCAACAACGGCTGTAAGAGAGTGAAACAACAAGAAAAATGTGAGAGTGAAGGAAGCCGGTTCAGATTACCTCAGGGTCACCTCACCCCCCCTTACTTCCTTAGCACTGGCCAGGGCCACACTGTAGAATTACATATAAGACCTGGACAGATAAATGGGATGAACGGCTTGCGCCAGGGGTTGTTGTTCACCCCTGTGAGGATGCTCAGGGCTGTTGTATTGATTAAGATGGGAATGAAGAAACGTCCTTTCCGTGTCGAGTCACCCTGGGAATCCTGGTTGGATGATGGGGCACCACTCGCGAGGAATGCCACAGCATCATCGGGGAAGTTGAACTGCTCTGGGATACCTCCGGTGACCTCGGAGATGGCTGCAGCATCCCTGAAGACCTGACTGGAATCTGGGGCTTCTCTGGAGATGACCATAGCATCTTTGAAGATCTCACTGGAGGCTGGATCATCTGCGGAGACCTGGGAGATGACTGTAGCATCCTTGGAGACCGGAGAGGCTGTGACTGTGATAAGTACACACAGCAGTAGCGAGGCCAAGGTAGTCTTCATGATAGTGGCAGTAGTAATAGCAGTAGTAACAGCAGTAGTAACAACAGTAGCGGAGCCCGTGATAGTTGGTGTCGTCTGGGTAGGATAAGAAAAACAAAGGAAATATCAGCGAAAAAGATTTGTGTTCTAGTGATGTGATGATGGTTTAAAGACAGATATATATATAAAAAATTAATCGAATAACAATTCGGGATACCACTTGCAGGTATTCCTTAAGAGGGATACTTACAATTGCTCCCTGGGGGAATTTTAAGGATATTGTTGTAGGTCATCGGAATAAGTAACCTGTGTGAATCTGTTGTGATTGTTTGGTGAAATTAATTTTGTAGTTGTAAATAGAGCAACGAGCTCTGTGACCCATGCAAATCTCGGTACTTTAGAGTGATAGAGTCTAGCTTACGTAACAGAGGCTTTCCATGTGAGAAAGTTAGTTTTGCATGAGTTAGAATTCTTGCTTTTGTTAGATATATCTGGTAAACCTGGAGACACACACCTGGTGAGACATCCAATAACCTGGTGAGACAGCCAATACACCTGGTGAGACAGGCAATACACCTGGTGAGACAGCCAATAACCTGGTGAGACAGCCAATACACCTGGTGAGACAGGCAATACACCTGGTGAGACAGCCAATACACCTGGTGAGACAGGCAATACACCTGGTGAGACAGCCAATAACCAGGTGAGACAGCCAATACACCTGGTGAGGCAGCCAATACACCTGGTGAGACAGCCAATACACCTGGTGAAACAGCCAATACACCTGGTGAAACAGCCAATACACCTGGTGAAACAGCCAATACACCTAGTGAGACAGCAGACAGCCACTGGAGAAGGAAAGGACCCAAGAGGTGTTATATATACCGTACTCTGGAGTGTCCTATCGTCCTACCACCTCACACAAACAATCATCCTCACTCACTATCTTATTCTCTCCCTCCAGCAACTCTTCTCACAAATTTAGTCTCTGTCTTCTTTTAAGTATCCAAAAACTTCGTAAAACTGGTTACCACTTACCATTTCTAAAGTGCAGTAATATCAGAAGATCTAACGGGAAGCCCTAGCCAAGGTATGGGTCGAGACGAGAGTCAGGAAGATATGGATATTATATTAAAGACTTACTTGTTATGCATATCTCAAATGGTGTCTCAACACCGACCTCGGCTATAGTGAAACTATCTGAAAAGAAATTAGAGAAAATTCAGCATATTATACATATGAATGAACTTAGAGAATATCCACACTGCGTTAGAGGTCCGTACAAGCAACCTGTCCTCTTAACCGTCCTCAGGTACCTTAATTACAGTTACTGAAGACAATACTTACAATGGTATCTCCCACTTTAAATGTACATACGTCGTAACTAACCAAAAAAAATCTTATAACTGTTTCACAATTTATATTTATGTTAGGCTAAATAAGGTCAGGGTTGCAATGGAATAATTATATAATTATAATTAATGATGTATATTAAGTAACGATAAGTATTTTGAGGAAGAAGTAAGTCCGGTGAGTGGAACAGCGAGTCAGTTGAAAATTGCCCATGTGATGACGGCAGTGAGTCCGGCAAGCTGTAAGTTCAGACGAGGGGCCAGGAGATAAGACTCAACTCTTGTAACCATGTGTAGGTGAGAACATATACGTGAGCAAACATATACACACACACTTATATATTCTTATAATATATAATAATAATAATAATAATAATAATAATAATAATAATAATAATAATAATAATTAGTTATCAGGCATGACAGGGCTGGGTAAGTCACTTTTCAGCAGTGAAGGTACGATACTCTGTTGTGTTATTACTGAAGTTATTGTTGTTGTTGGTTTGTAGAGCTGCTTCAGCTAGCACCGTATTGTTGTTGTTGGTTTATAGAGCTGCTTCAGCTAGCACCGTATTGTTGTTGTTGGTTTATAGAGGCGCTTCAGCTAGCACCGTATTGTTGTTGTTGGTTTATAGAGCTGCTTCAGCTAGTACCGTATTGTTGTTGTTGGTTTATAGAGCTGCTTCAGGTAGCACCGTATTGTTGTTGTTGGTTTATAGAGGCGCTTCAGGTAGCACAGTAGTGTTTTTGCTGGTTTATAGAGCTGCTTCAGCTAGCACCGTATTGTTGTTGTTGGAGGTTTATAGAGCTGCTTCAGCTAGCACCGTACTGTTGTTGTTGTGGGTTTATAGAGCTGCTTCAACTAGCACCGTACTGTTGTTGTTATGGGTTTATAGAGCTGCTTCAACTAGCACCGTACTGTTGTTGTTATGGGTTTATAGAGCTGCTTCAGCTAGCACCGTACTGTTGTTGTTGTGGGTTTATAGAGCTGCTTCAGCTAGCACCGTACTGTTGTTGTTGTGGGTTTATAGGGACACTGACAGCATACGCCGTGTCCAGCCCGACCTTCCAGTGCAGAAAAAGAAATCTCGACCAAAATGGAAGGAAACTGACAAATAACTATGCATATTATGTGCCATAATGCACCCTGAAGCCAGCAAGAAGACGCAAGTAGAGGACAGTAACACCCTACTGACTCTCTCTACTACACCAGGGCCATTAAGGCTGCAAGTTATTAAGACCGCAGGTTATTAAGAATGTAGGTTATTAAGACTGCAGGTCATTAGGACTACAGGTCATTAAGACTGCAGTTCATTAAGACTGCAGGTCACTGGTACACCACAAGTGAAGAAAACTTCAATATCTTGGATAAGGATTAATGTAAACTGACAGAGTATGGATATCTCTCAGAGTATATACACACAGATATACATCTCTAGGTGTGCATACTCTGAGATGTGGCCTATCAGTGGTCTATCGATGTATATATGCACATATATACATCGAGAGAAAACGCATGACGCTTTAGACCACTAGACCAAACATGTGGTCTAGTGGTCTAAAGCCTCATGCGTTTTCTCTAACCATGAGGCGGACCAAAACAGGATGGGGTCGACTCCTTGGCTAGTGCAGTGCTGTTATTGATATATATATATATATATATATAATATATATATATATATATAATATATATATATATATATATATATATATATATATATATATATATATATATATATATATATATATATATATATAATATATATATATATATATATAGGGAAGTACCACCTCTATAGCTGGAATGGGGACCCTCATCCTCAGAGAAGACAATAAACGTACCTCAGGGAAAACTCAAGGTTCTCCCCGGAGCTGTTTGAATATTTTCTTCTCCTACCACCCCCTATATATTTTATATTCTATGTGAACATTTATTAATAAACAAAATACATTTACAGAATAAAACATAAACATGAATACAATGGCACAATGTATCAAAGATCATGAATTTCCTCCAGCTCCTCCGAAGCTGGACGTGAGCCAAGTATGCAGCAAGCCTTTCCCCTCTGGATGGCGACGCTGAGGCGCTGGAACATGAAAGTGGCTGCCCTTGGGTCCCTGGTGGTGTCGATGAGTCTGGAACCCAATTCTTTAAGGAAACGTGTGGCATTTTTTTCCCCATGATCCCAAGGTCTCTGATCCCACTGGGACAAATTGATACTGTTGGCTAATGTCCCTGTACTTGCTGATCTTGTACTCCTCCCTGTGGTCAGCAGCTCCTCCCTGTCGCCCCACACTGTGATGGATATAGGTGTCAGCCAGTGTGGACACACAGGTATAGTCCCATGCTAAGACTTTGTCATTCTTCCAAGGATAGATGGTGATCCCGTCGGGGCAGTTTGCTGGGTTGTGGGTATTGTTGGCTGCTAGTGATCGGGGCTCCCTCTCGGCTGGGCATCCAGCTGTAGCAAGGGTTCTCTTAATGATGTCGGTGACCTCATTGTGTCTTGCATGCCTGCCCTTGGTTTTGGAACAGTTAAGACCATGTAGACCATATTGGTCTGCTTGCACTTCACCGCAAATACACGTGTATTCTGTGTGAATTGGGGCAGCAAGGCGCAGAGCCATTGCAATACGGAGGGTCTAAGGGTCGAGTCGCGTTCCCATTGCCGATATGGGAACTGTTTGGAGGAAGTCCCCGGAGTGATGTGCACTCACAGCCTGGAGACGGGCGATCTCCCTATCTGATGTTGCAGCCCTGAGCATGTTGGCAAGCACCTTTTCAGCGATCGGGCCATCCCAGCTTGACTGTTTGTGAGCCAGTGCTGCACTAGGGTTTGGTGCTGGAGCAGCAAGAGTCTCCCATTCGGTGATGGCACTGGCATAGCTAGGGTCTTCTATTCCTGCTGAGTCACTGAGGGTATCAGGAAGAATTTGTCTTATCAACTCGTTTGATGCAATGGAAGAGGATAGGAAAGCTGGTAGAGCAATCTGGGAGGATCTGCGTACTCCTAGCCCTCCAAGCCTGACCGGAAGTGAAGCTTGCAACCACTGTCCATCTTCAAGGGAAAGATTCAGTACACTCTCTAGCATGGTCTTAAGGAGAGAGTCATATTCCTTGAGTTTTGGACTGCTGAAGGCTGGGGAGCTTCTCAGAAAGTAGGTAAGTTTTGGGATTGACAGGCACCTGGTGAGTAGGTACAAGGCATCATGTGTGTCAATGTCTTTCATCCTGCTTTCCATCGTCCGGAAGTCTGAGATTTTTTTTTTCTAGGATCAGATCGATGGCATTGGACCCAAGAGGAGCACCAAGGATCAATGGCTGGATCAATGGCTCGTGCTCCTGGTAAAACGGCACTAATATTCTGGATCATCTGTTGATTGGTAGAAACTATTTCACATTTGGTGGGGTTTAAAGAAAGGCCCAGGCTTTCTCCCATGTCTTTAATTTTACTGATGTCCTCCAGGAGAGATTCTGTTGTGCCAGCCAGGGTACCGTCGTCTAGGAACCAGATATTGAGCTCGCTGGAGAGTGCCTCCGTGACTTCCTTGATGACCAAACAAAATAGAAAGGGGGCGAGAGGGTCCCCCTGTTGCACGCCCTCACATGAGTCAATTTCATATATATATATATATATATATATATATATATATATATATATATATATATATATATAATATATATATATATATATATATATATATATATATGTGCATATGTGTGTGCGTGCGTGTGTGTGTATGTTGTGTATTCACCTAGTTGTACTCACCTAGTTGAGGTTGCGGGGGTCGAGTCCGAGCTCCTGGCCCCGCCTCTTCACTGATCGCTACTAGGTCACTCTCCCTGAGCCGTGAGCTTTATCATACCTCTGCTTAAAGCTATGTATGGATCCTGCCTCCACTACATCGCTTCCCAAACTATTCCACTTACTGACTACTCTGTGGCTGAAGAAATACTTCCTAAAATCCCTGTGATTCATCTGTGTCTTCAGCTTCCAACTGTGTCCCCTTGTTACTATGTCCAGTCTCTGGAACATCCTGTCTTTGTCCACCTTGTGTGTGTGTGTGTGTGTGTGTGTGTGGGTGTGTGTGTGTGTGTGTGTGTTTATTTCATATTAAAACCTCTTCCATAAGCTGAGTAACCCATACGGCATTAGCGCTCCACTTGTGAAGGTCTTAATTGTTCGTAGCTCTGACTATCATTGTTTGTAGCCCGGAGAAGCCGTTGTTTGCAGCCCTGACAACCATTGTTTGCAGCCCTGACATCCACTGTTTGTAGCCATGACAACCATTGTTTGTAGCCCTGACAACCATTGTTTGTAGCCCTGACAACCATTGTTTGTAGCCCTGACAACCATTGTTTGTAGCCCTGACAACCATTGTTTGTAGCCCTGACAACCATTGTTTGTAGCCCTGACAACCATTGTTTCTAGCCCTGACAACCATTGTTTCTAGCCCTGACAACCATTGTTTGTATCCATGACAACCATTGTTTATAGCCCTGACAACCATTGTTTGTATCCATGACAACCACTGTTTGTATCCATGACAACCATTGTTTGTAGCCCTGACAACCATTGTTTGTATCCATGACAACCATTGTTTGTAGCCCTGACAACCATTGTTTGTAGCCCTGACAACCATTGTTTGTATCCATGACAACCATTGTTTGTAGCCCAGACAACCATTGTTTGTATCCATGACAACCATTGTTTGTAGCCCTGACAACCATTGTTTCTAGCCCTGACAACCATTGTTTGTATCCATGACAACCATTGTTTGTAGCCCTGACAACCATTGTTTGTATCCATGACAACCATTGTTTGTAGCCCTGACAACCATTGTTTCTAGCCCTGACAACCATTGTTTGTATCCATGACAACCATTGTTTGTAGCCCCGACAACCATTGTTTCTAGCCCTGACAACCATTGTTTGTATCCATGACAACCATTGTTTGTAGCCCTGACAACCATTGTTTGTATCCATGACAACCATTGTTTGTAGCCCTGACAACCATTGTTTGTAGCCCTGACAACCATTGTTTGTATCCATGACAACCATTGTTTGTAGCCCTGACAACCATTGTTTGTAGCCATGACAACCATTGTTTGTAGCCCTGACAACCATTGTTTCTAGCCCTGACAACCATTGTTTGTAGCCCTGACAACCATTGTTTGCATCCATGACAACCATTGTTTGTAGCCTGACAACCATTGTTTGTAGCCCTGACAACCATTGTTTGCATCCATGACAACCATTGTTTGTAGCCCTGACAACCATTGTTTGTAGCCCTGACAACCATTGTTTGTAGCCTGACAACCATTGTTTGTAGCCCTGACAACCATTGTTTGCATCCATGACAACCATTGTTTGTAGCCCTGACAACCATTGTTTGCATCCATGACAACCATTGTTTGTAGCCCTGACAACCATTGTTTGTAGCCCTGACAACCATTGTTTGTAGCCCTGACAACCATTGTTTGTAGCCCTGACAACCATTGTTTGTATCCATGACAACCATTGTTTGTAGCCCTGACAACCATTGTTTGTAGCCCTGACAACCATTGTTTGTATCCATGACAACCATTGTTTGTAGCCCTGACAACCATTGTTTGTATCCATGACAACCATTGTTTGTAGTCCTGACAACCATTGTTTGTAGCCTGACAACCATTGTTTGTAGCCCTGACAACCATTGTTTGTAGCCCTGACAACCATTGTTTGTAGCCATGACAACCATTGTTTGTAGCCCTGACAACCATTGTTTGTATCCATGACAACCATTGTTTGTAGTCCTGACAACCATTGTTTGTAGCCTGACAACCATTGTTTGTAGCCCTGACAACCATTGTTTGTAGCCCTGACAACCATTGTTTGTAGCCATGACAACCATTGTTTGTAGCCCTGACAACAATTGTTTGTAGCCCTGACAACCATTGTTTGTAGCCCTGACAACCATTGTTTGTAGCCCTGACCACCATTGTTTGTAGCCACCTTTTGTGGTTGCAGGGGTCGAGTCATAGCTCCTGGCCCCGCCTCTTCCCTGGTCGCTACTAGGTCCACTCTCTCCCTGCTCCATGAGCCTGGTCCGTGCGCTCTGTGGGTGGGTTCGGTTTTGTTGCTGTGTCGCGCAGCTGTGGAGGTATGGATGCTGTGTCGGCATTGGACGCCTGAGGCAGCTCACCGTCCTGTACTGCACCGCGGACGCCTGAGGCAGCTCACTGTCCTGTACTGCACCGCGGACGCTTGAGGCAGCTCACCGTCCTGTACTGCACCGCGGACGCCTGAGGCAGCTCACCGTCCTGTACTGCACCGCGGACGCCTGAGGCAGCTCACCGTCCTGTACTGCACCGCGGACGCCTGAGGCAGCTCACCGTCCTGTACTGCACCGCGGACGCCTGAGGCAGCTCACCGTCCTGTACTGCACCGCGGACGCCTGAGCAGCTCACCGTCCTGTACTGCACCGCGGACGCCTGAGGCAGCTTCACCGTCCTGTACTGCACCGCGGACGCCTGAGGCAGCTCACCGTCCTGTACTGCACCGAGGACGCCTGAGGCAGCTCACCGTCCTGTACTGCACCGCGGGCTGGCATGGATGGGACGTCTGGAGGCTGAGGACAAGTATATGGTGATGACACTAGTTGGTATTGGCCAGCCCCTGTATGTGGCGCAGGAACCTCCGACTCCGCAAAGTAAGCCGACCCGAGCCATCCCCCTTGACCAAGTATTGATCATACGGCTTCGTTTCCACTATCACACCGGTCCTGTTCCATCCCAAGCTGTGATTCCCGGTCTGGTTTTGCAGAACAACCCGATTACCGGATGCTACGGGGAAAAGCTGCCGGGTGTGGTGCAGTAAATCATCGAACCTCAGTCGGAGGGCCTCTTCTTGCATGCCCCACGTTTGACGCCACACTTGGTGAATCAATGGGTTGGTGAATACCTGCGTTCCTGGGGCGATGGGTAGCAGGTCTGAGGGTCTGGCGTGTTTCGGTACTGAAGCAAGCCAGCAGTCACCGCATCGGTGTCGAGACTGCCATTCGCGTCTGCGTGCGATGTCAGTAAGCGCTTCATAGACTAGACGACATCTCCGCCCGCCAGCTATGTATGGATCCTGCCTCCACTACATCACTCTCCAGATTGTTCCACTTCCCGACAATTCTGTGACTGAAGAAATGCTTCTTAACATTCTTTGACTCATCTGAATCTTCAACTTCCAGTTGTGATTCCTTGTTGCTGTGTTCCGTCTCAGGAACATCCTGTCTGTCCACCTTGTTTGCGTGTGTGTGTACTCACCTAATTGCGATTGCAGAGGTCGACTAACAGCTCCTGGTCCCGTCTCTTCTCTGGTTTCTACTAGGTTCACCCTCTCCCTGCTCCATGAGCATTGTCGTACCTCTACTTAAAGTTATGCATGGATCCTGCCTCCACTACATCACAAACCAAAAAAAAGGCATCAAAAACCCAGTATCGCGAAAGATTTTTATTAAAAGACTTCCGTACAACTTATCAGGTAACATTACATGTACAAATCACATCAACAGAAACTCAACGGTAACGGTAACAGCAGTAAAGGAATCAGTAAATTATATAGGAGAGTTTACCTGCCATTATTGGCACCTGTTTATTGGACAGAGAATCTGTGGTTTACACAGAGTGTAGGAAGCGAAGACCTGAGAACCAACGGGGAGCGGTGTAACAGAGGGCCAAGTTGGCAGGAGATTAGGCCAGGGGAGAGAATTTATAAATGGAGAGCCGATGATAATTGGAGTTATTTTGATTGGAGCAGCGTGACACGTGACCAGACATGTCAACATTGTCATGGTCTGTATGAGGGGGAGTCTGGCAGTCTTCATGGTGGTGACCTGGCGGTGGTGACGTGGTGGAAGAGGTGACCTAGTGGTGGTGACGTGGTGGTGGTGACCTAGTGGTGGTGACCTGGTGGTGACTTGTGATGTCTTCGAGACTGTAAAAAGTATATATATATATATATATATATATATATATATATATAATATATATATAATATATATATATATATATATATATATATATAATATATATATATATATATATATATAAATATATATAAATATATATATTATATATATATAATATATATATATATATATATATATATATATATATATATATATATTATATATATATTATATAATATATATATATATATATATATATATATATATATATATATATATATATAATATATATATATATATATATATATATATATATATATAATATATAAATTATATATATATATATATATATATATATATATATATATATATATATATATAATATATATATAAATATATATATATATATAATCTTTTTAAAACAGATAAACCGAATTAAAACTTAAAACTAACTTTCCAAATCTGTCGACAAATTTACACACACACAAAAGAAACTATTGATGCTGGTCAAGTGCTCTTGATCCGGGGTACTGGAGCTATCCTACTTTGCCGCAAATTGTACCCCTGCGGAGTTAGCGCTTCTCCTTTTTACGGAAGCGAATATTGATTTTTTTTATATTACTGCTCTGTTTTGGGTATCCCTGGTAGTATCCTAGTGGTATCCCAGTGGTATCACCGGTGGTATCCCGGTGATATCCCCGGTGGTGGCCCAGTGGTATCCCCGGTGGTATCCCAGTGGTACTGAAGTATATACAGTAGTATCCCCAGTGGTACTGAAGTATATACAGTAGTATCCCCAGTGGTACTGAAGTATATACAGTAGTATCCCCAGTGGTACTGAAGTATATACAGTGGTATCCCCAGTGGTATTAAGTTACACCCACTGTGTTTGTTCTTGTTAAAGTTAGTGAGTTAGAGTGAATCTTTCTCAAACTTCACCAGTGGTAGAGTGTGTTTGTACCTGCCTTGGGAGTAAGTGTGTTAGGGTGAGTGTGTACCCTCGTTCTTTCTTGTTTTGTCTGCTCTAAGAGCAGTGCTTGATGCTTGAGAGGCCGCAGACCCCTGCAAGACAGCAGAGGTGTGAAGAAGACTATTCCTCCTCGTAAGACAAGCACAGGTCAATCTTGTTGGAGTGAGACCTTGTAAGAGAGACACAAGTGACGGTCCAGCGGAACCCCTGCTAGCTAGACAGCAGCAGACACACACACACTGCTCAAGAAAGGTTCCCTTCTCTTTATATACCCTCCACCTACTTACTATACAAAGCAAATTAAGCAAGGACCTCATCTCGACTCCAAACCGCAACCATGAACCTCAGCTGATTACCATCACCCCTTTCACAACAAGCATTCTTACCTCAGATTAATGATTCTGTGGACCCGAATGTGTGATATGATTGTGTACCTGTTGTGGGTTGTTTTTGGGTGACGTTCGTGTGTGTGTGTGTTTGTTATCTAAGCAGAAGACAGAGTTAGACGATGAGGTTGAAAGACAGTCATGGCAGTGGAATGATACGCAAAAATTGGCTGGAGAATATCGTCATCTAGAATATGAATGTTGTGTTGTGTTGTGTTGTGTGGGATTGTTGGGTTGTGTGTTGTGTTGTGTGGGATTGTTGTGGTGTGTGTTGTGTCGTGTGGGATTGTTGTGGTATCCCTCGTTCAGAGGATACTGGTTAAGTAGCCCACGAAAGTTTAGTTATGGTAGCGAGAGAAACATATCATATATGGAAATTAATTAAGAATGTGTTTCACGTACATGGGAGTGGTGTTGGGGGGGGAGTCCAATACAAAGAACAGAAAACACATAGGTCAGGTCAGGTGCAATATGGGCAGTAGGGGAGTACTACAGTAGGCCTGCTGGCCCATGAAAGTAGGCCTACAATGCGTTGTGTAGATCATACAGCAGAAGGAGGTGAGAGACACGACCACTGACTGAGGAAACTGAGGGATTCATGGCAATCCGTCTGTTGTGAATCCTCAGGACAAGGAAGATGGAGAGTGATGGAGAGGAAATAGAAGGATGGAGAGCTGTCAGCCACTAGCAACGCCAGGAACGACGGTGAGAGGACAGACCAGCCCTGACATCCTAAGTCCAGTACAGAGAAGAAAGGAGTTTAAGGAAATCAATCTCTCAGACTGGAGATAATGTGATCAGGCTGTCAGTGTTTGTAAGCATGCAACATACATGTGGAAAAGATCCATTATTGTGTACCTCATATCCATCCTGTGGATGGTAGTGGCTAGTTTATTGTGTACCTCATATCCATCCTGTGGATGGTAGTGGCTAGTTCATTGTGTACCTCATATCCATCCTGTGGATGGTAGTGGCTAGTTTATTGTGTACCTCATATCCATCCTGTGGATGGTAGTGGCTAGTTTATTGTGTACCTCATATCCATCCTGTGGATGGTAGTGGCTAGTTTATTGTGTACCTCATATCCATCCTGTGGATGGTAGTGGCTAGTTTATTGTGTACCTCATATCCATCCTGTGGATGGTAGTGGCTAGTTTATTGTGTACCTCATATCCATCCTGTGGATGGTAGTGGCTAGTTTATTGTGTACCTCATATCCATCCTATGGATGGTATTACAAGAGCATATGGATACACAATAGGCCTAGGATCTAGGCCCTAACAGAGTTAACAGGAGTACACCTGGATTTATATCTACAGGTCACGTATTTGTTGCAATCAAATTTATGTAACTTAATATATCTGGTATCTTATTTTCAATAATAAGATACCTTGACATGTCACATAGATTATTATACTGTCTATGAATCACCTGGAGGAGGCGCCGCCGGTGGAGTCAGAAGAATAGCTTGGATTGTCTCTCGCAGTGGATACTCTATTACAGAATGGCATGGTGTGATTTGTGAGAGGTATGGTATAGTAATAATAATAATAATAATAATAATAATAATAATAATAATAATAATAATAATAATAATAATAATAATAATAATAATAATTTTTTTACATGTACATGTACAAGGTATACAGACCATAGTTGACATCAGGATGCGACCCAGACCAGTCCACTAACACCCAGGATGCGACCCACACCAGTCCACTAACACCCAGGATGTGACCCACACCAGTCCACTAACACCCAGGATGCGACCCACACCAGTCCACTAACACCCAGGATGTGACCCACACCAGTCCACTAACACCCAGGATGTGACCCACACCAGTCCACTAACACCCAGGATGCGACCCACACCAGTCCACTAACACCCAGGATGTGACCCACACCAGTCCACTAACACCCAGGATGTGACCCACACCAGTCCACTAACACCCAGGATGCTACCCACACCAGTCCACTAACACCCAGGATGTGACCCACACCAGTCCACTAACACCCAGGATGCGACCCACACCAGTCCACTAACACCCAGGATGTGACCCACACCAGTCCACTAACACCCAGGATGCGACCCGCACCAGTCCACTAACACCCAGGATGTGACCCACACCAGTCCACTAACACCCAGGATGCGACCCACACCAGTCCACTAACACCCAGGTACCTATTTTACTGCTAGGTGAAGATGGACAGCAGGTGTCTTAAGGATACACGTCGTAATATTTTCACCCGTACCGGGGATCGACCCCCGGATCTCAGTGTGTCAGCTAAGTGCTCTAGCAATTGAGTTACGGGAAAGCAAGGGATTAGTAAGACTGATCATCTTCAAGGGTGATGGACTAATTACATATTCCTTACATCACTACAGCTTCTGCAGCATCCTCTGTATTCAACAGAAGAAGCCTGAGGTGTAGGCGAAGTGTTTCGGAATAAGGGAACCCAACCC